GCCCCGCCAGTCAGCGCCCGGCGGGTGCATGCTGGGGCACCAAAGCGAGCTGGCCAATCACAGCGCAGCGGCGCGCCCGGCAGTTGTCGCCTCTCTCCTTATAGTCTCTCTACTCCCCCCCAACCCCCCGTTCACGTCGCGCGCTGCTTAGGGGGCGGACTCTCCCTTCCAGCGGGGCGCTGTCAAAAACCAAAAGAGACGGCCAGAGAAAGAAGCGCCAAGCGGAGAAAGGAAAGGACCAAAGTCTGTTTGTTTGCTACGTGGCCTCTTTTCCCGCTGAAAAATTGTCGCTCCGACAAAAATTAAAACAAATACGCAGCCGGCCAGCGCCCCATAGAGACCCTGTCCCCGTACTTTAATTTAACTTATGTAGGCGCAGGTGTGCGGACGGGCTTGCCTACCGTCCGCTGCCGTCGTTCGCCGTGGCGCCTGCGGGCGCCTGACGGGTAGGCAACCGAACCACACGCGTGAGTGCGGTACAGTATAAGCAAAGAAAAGTACTGGGTCTATGAGAGACCCAGTCTGTATGAGCAGGAGTAGAGAGAGAGGGAAGTGGACACAGATTTTACGCCGAACTCCGCAGGAGGAGGCTGTGCTCGAACCGGCGGCCCCACCACCCACACCACTCGAAATATAGAGAGGCTCATGTGCGAGGTTCATGCAAATAAGGACACACACACAGACACACCCTCTCTCCTCCTTTCCGCAGCGCCTCTCCACGCTGCCTGCTGAAAAGAGGGAGAGAGTGCGAAAGGCGGCATGGGAAGCGCGGGTGAGAGGGAGTGAGAGAGAGAAGGTCGCCGTGGGGCCGGGACGCTGCCCTGAAGTGACTCCATTAGCGAGCGGGGCGGAGGGGGGAGGGGGGCGCTCGGAGGGCGGAAGGGAAGGGCGCAAAGGGCGCCGCGGCGCCGCTGGAAGTCCAAATGGGCGATGAAAGGGAGAAAATGCTGTTATTCAGAACGCGGAGTGGCGCCGTGGTGGGGCGGGGGGCGGGGTGGGGCTTGGGGTTAAAAGGTGCGCGACCAGCAGCAAGAGCGGCCGCCGTTGGAGCGGCTGGAGGCAAATGGGGGCCACGGGGCCCACGGGTGGGTCCCTCCCCGGCCGGCGCCCACACGCGGCCGCCGTCGCGCGACACGCGCCCGGAGGGGGGCCGGGGCCGGGGGGCGGCCCAGCAGAGGGCCCCGCTGGGCGAGCTTTTGGTGTCACGACGGGCGTTGCGTGGCGCGACGTGGCGTACGGCCCACAGGAGGGGCCCTCCTAATGCCCGCGGTGCGCGGCGCGGCACGACCCGAAGGGAAGGCACCGCGCGCGTCATGTAAAAAGCTTTTACACTTCGGCCGAGTCCATCCTCACCCCCTGCACCCTGGCGGGTGGGCTGAATGCAAGAAATTAAGACACAAGCGAAAAAAAGGAGAAAATGTAAAAATAATCGAGGCGTTTACGTTCAAACGTAAATGAATGTGGACGCTTCGCTCGGGCTTGTACCTGGGGGGCGATTCAAAGAAGATGGAGTGGGTTTGCCTACCTCAGGGACCATGGCGCCTTACGGGCAGAGCGAATAGGCCATAGTTGTTTCTCTATGGAATAGGCAAACCCCTGCTCGCACTCGCACCTTGCGTCTTCTCCTCTGAATCACCCGGCGGTGCGGCAGCGGGCGGGTGTCGAACCCGCGGTCGAGCGGCGAGCATGCAGCAGCTGCTCATCTGCCCCCGCCGCCTGGTTGCACAACTGTGTGACGGGCGGCGGCAGGGCTGCGGGGGAAGTGCCTTACCATCTGAATGGCGCGCGCATCGAGTTTCTGTCAGCGGCGGCGGGACGGGACGGGACGCGGGCCAGCAGCCGCGGTATTATAAAGCTATGCAGCGAGAGATTATGGAATAGGAAGGCGAGCAACCCTTTCTTTTTCCCGACACTCGCTTTTCAGTCTCCCGCCTCCCGCCCCTACTACAGCTGCGCGCTAAGCCACTAGAGGGGCTGACAGGGCCTCCTTCGCGGATATAATAAAAAGTCAAGACGGTGAGCAGACAGACAGCCCCCGCCGCCCCCGCTACCGGCGCCCCGCGGAATCACGCCAGCACCGCTCCGTTCGGCCGGCTCCTCTCCGCGATCAATAGGCGAGCCATGTGCACGCAGATTAGCTGGGGACGGCCTGGCCGGCAAAGATCAACCCGCAATCGCATGCAAAAAATAAAT